CACAGTCTTAGAAAATACAAGTAAGATTAAAAGAAAGTAACTAAAGAGAAATACACATATATATATATATATATATATTCTTTTATCACTCACAATGCATTAGGAAAAACAAAATTTTTACTACCCATTATTTAATCATACAGTACTCACTGAAAGCTTGCTATACATCTGCAATTTTTATTTCCTACTTTCATGTAGCTTATATTCTAATGGTGATCAAATAGCAAAGCTAAAAGAGAATATTAGTTGAGGCTGTGCACGGTGGCTCATGCCTGTAATCCAAGCAATTTGGGAAGACGAGGAGAGTGGATCACTTGAGGCCAGGAGTTTGACATGGCAAAACCCCGACTCTACAAAAAATACAAACACAGGAAAACCCTGACTCTACAAAAAATACAAAAATTAGCCAGGTGTGGTGGCACCCACCTCTAGTCCCAGCTAGTTGGGAGGTTGAGTGAGGAGAATTGCTTGAACCCAGGAGGCAGAGGTTATAGTGAGCTGAGATTGTGCCACTGAACTCCAACCTGGGTGACAGAGCAAGACTCTGTCTCAAAAAAAAAAAAAATATTAGTTGAAAAGAGCTTATGCAATTAATTGCATATAAATTTGCAACTGCATAGGGAAACAGGCCTTCTCATGCACTATACTGTAGGTGCTCGAGAAGATCTGTCTTAACAACAAACTGGCAATAATGATCAAAACTGTAAAATGCCCAAATGTGATGTATGTCCCAATAATGTACTGTCCTCATTAAAATATATTTTGACAAAATATTCCATAAATTCTCTAATATATAAAAGATGTGCATCATAGTATTATTTACATAGCAGAAAAACAGAAATAACAAAGATGCATCTGCAAGGATTAAGTTAAATAGATCATTTTGTTGACACAAAGAGAAGGTTACAAAATCCCAAAAATATTAAAAGCAAAAAAAAAAAATCACAGTAAGTAATACATTCTATGATGCCATAGAATATACTGGAGGGAAAATCACATTTAATATTTATATATACAGAAAACGTTGAAAGGTAATGCAGCCAGCCAATAGCAGCTATCCCTAGAGGTATATGAACATATAATTCACAGAAGAAATAAAAACATATAGGCATAGGAAAAGATATTCATCCTCACTAATAAAGTAATGAGAATAGGGGCTTCTATATTCTTTATAATTTGAAGGAAAAATACAATTATGTATTATCCAAAAAGATTATCTCTGTTTCCTTTTAAGTCTTCATCAAGTCACTTTGTAAAAAGTAAAATAAAGTGAATGTAATAAGTTTTCACATCTTATTAAGGACAAATATCATAAATCATATATATTAATAAATGATTCCTTCTAACCTCACTTATGAATTTTAAAATATTGTTTCCTTTATGGGTGCATGTTTGTGTTTGTATGTATGTATTACTGTTTTTTTTTTTTTTTGGTTCAAATGCTTTTCTATTCATTATCATGTAACTTTCAAATTTTCTTCTAATATATATTTTTTCAATTAAGAATATTCTTATGGCTCAACTTTTTACAATTAAATTTTTAATCTATTTGGAGTTCACTCTAGTGGCAAATTTTCTTATTTTTTTTCCCCCAACTATTAGTTATTCCAAGACCATGTATTGAAGTTGTCCCTCAAGCTGCCCATCCCCCATGCTTCCTCTCACCTATCCCACACTCTTTCCTTATGACCTCAATCGTGTTCTTTTTAATTTTTTTTTTCATCCAGGATCTCAGCTTAGCAACCTCCATCTCCTAGGTTCAAGTGATTCTCCTGCCTCAGCCTCCCTAGTAGCTGGGATTACAGGTGCCTGCCACCATGCCTGGCTAATTTTTGTGCCTTTAGTAGAGAAGGGGGTTTCACCATCTTGGCCAGTCTGATCTCGAACTCCTGACCTCAGGTGATCAGCCTGCCTCGGCCTCCCAAAATGCTAGTGTTCTATCTGAATTATTTCTACAGGCTCACACTGGCCTTCCTTTATTCAGTATTGCATTCCTCCCATTCTACACCACCCAGTGCCTCAAAAGCCTGTTCCGTATACTACATATGGAGTGATGTATCACTTCCTGGTTCAAATCCTTTCAATGGCTTCCCACTTTTTAAGAAGCTCATAATTTCAGGGGTGGCTATATAATTTATCACCCAAATAGGGAAACAGTTGAAAGTGGGAGAAAGGCTATCACTAATCATGCTGGAACTGCAAGCATGAACCAGACTATCCTGGGCAAACCCAACTCAAAAGGCTTGACTCCCCAGCTCCAAACTTTTACCCCTTCCTCCTTCGCAAGCCACTGTTTGCCCATTCTGCAGCTGGTTTTGCATTTTTACACCTTCAAACTTAGAGTTTTCCTTTATGGGACTTTATATGCTCTTCCCTGTACCTAAATAATTTCTTTTTCACATCCCACCCCCAACCCATCTCCCACTCCTTTGTCCCCTTCTGGTTTCCTCAAACTCCACCGTGATGTCTCAACTTACATGCCATTTCCTCTGTAAAGGTTTCTTCAATATTCTCCTCTTGCCCAAGTCTGGGTTTAGCACCATTCCTATTCATTCTACATCATATCCATGTGTTCCCTCTTTTAAATCCAGTATTTCTCCTATCACCTTTGTGTGTGTGTGTGTGTGTGTGTGTGTGTGTGTGTGTGTGTATGTAATCTTCTATAATCTGCATCCATAGAACCTGGCACACACTAGACATTAAAAGAAAAAAAACTGAGAATAAATGAATGGATGAAGATCTGTCTCTGGTGACTTTTATAAACTGTCAAAGAAAGTTTAAAATTTTTCAGAAAGAATTGGCAGATGAGTGAAATATGGGAATTATCCACATATCTTCCCACAGTGGGTGCATATTTGGGTGTTTGTGTCTGTGCATGTCTGTGTGTCTGTTTATCTGTTGTTTTTTTTTAAAGTTCTATTACTTTGAAGATATACATCAACTTTCTTTTCAGTAAAATGAATAAAGCACTGAAAATGAAATAGCAAATCTTTAAAAAGTAAATAACTTCCCTAATCCACCAGAAATTAAATATTCAAATTAACACACTAGACTTACATTTTTCATATTTTAACTAACAGTTCAACTAACAATCTATATACCTTGCTTCTGCTTAAAAGGGAAACAAACAAAGATTTTAGTTTACTCCCAGGACAAAAATAGATTAACTGATTATATCCCGAAATAGTCTAAAATCTATTTGGGGGCTTAACTTCTTAAAGTAATATGGAAATGAGGTCAAAGTGATGGTAGATAATATGAATGACTTCAAAAAAAGCAATGTTAAATATTAGGTCCAAAAAGGGAAAAAGATACAAGACTGGTTAACTACAAACTCACACTGTCAAATGAAAGAACGTATATCCTGGAATATCTATTTTCTACACATATTTATTAAATATGTCTTTCATGCTAACTTTACACCATTCTTTAGTCATACCGCTAGATAAATACAAAAAATAAATTATCCACCTAAAATATTTTCACATAATAAAATGTAACTAATTATTGTAAAATATTATCAAATGGCCCTTCTTAATACTGTCTAAAGACATACCTCTCTCTTGAGCCAAATACCAGTTCTCATCCAGCATATTATTGCATAATTAGCTATTCCATTTGAAACACTCTTGAACCAAATACCACAATCAGGGATTTTTTTTTTCATCTGAAACACGCTGCTTTCATTTTTAATACCCTTGAACCAACACAATAATCTCAAAAAGGAGTTTAGCAAACTTCTCATAGCTAACCTCACCCTCCCCTGGGTGATACTGACTTTTCAGGTACAGTCTAAGACCAAATGAAGAAATCTTCAGAACACTCTCTCGCTAAAAATCTCCTTCTCTTAATGTTTTTACACACTTTGTCTTTAACATCAAGGAACTTTTCTGCTCTAATCTGATCCTTGTTCTTTTAGAACAAAAATTTAATGAATTTCCTGAACCACTACAAATCAATTACCCTCACATCATTAATCATAGCCTGTTTAGCCTTTACAATAATACATTCATGTACTTATATTTACTTACAGGGATTAGGTTTTATAGTCCATGCATGTTTTTAACCTCATCTTTTATTTAATACCATCTCTCTTTTTATAAAAATAAATATAAGACCAACTACCACAAAATTCAAAAAGCTATTTCTCAAAAAAGGTAGAAACCAGCTTTTGTATCTTGGCAGAAATTTTCATTCAACACTTTACATATGCTCACCAGTAATCATCACAAGCTAAATGATCATTTTAATTATGTAATTATGATCCATATGTAATATGATCCATATGTAATTCTGACTCACAGAACAATATCTGACACAAAATTGCCACAGTGTCAAGTCCAAAATATATACAATGCAGGATTTAGTACACTAATAACCTCAGAATAACTGCAGAAGAATCTGAAATGCCAGCTGTAGGCTGCTCACATTTGGAGGAAAAATAAGTGATAAACTTAAGAGGCAATGGGAAAGGGAGGACCGAAACCTGTCTGCCAATATTTTATGGGTATTTTACACTGGAAAAGTGCTCTTCTCTGTAAAACGGAATTATATTTTGAAACGTAAATTAGTAAAAGGACAGGAAATGGGGAGGGGAAAGGAGAAAGAAAGAGGAATGCTGAAATGATCCTACAGAAAAATAGGTGTATTTGTCAAATATTGGAATTCCGTTAACTACCCAAGTAAAATGGACCTAAACAAAATTACTAGTAGGTTCTGTACAATGTGCTCTTAACTTTATTTAAAAGGAAAATGACCTTGAAGCTATATTATATTTGTCAGAACTTAAATTCTGAGCTTCCCAATTAGCGTATTTTGCAGTTTCTCATCACATAATCAAAAGCTCACCTCTTTCTCATTCATAGATTTAGGCTATTAAAATACTGTGCCCTATTTGAAACACATTTACTTGAGAATTGATGCTCGAAACAAAATTCATCTGAAGGCTCAGAAAGTGGCCCTGTTGGAAGGTATTTATTACCAGCGTAACATGTCCTCACCTTCACATTGGGTTTTGACAGTAGTTTCAACAGCTCTCTGATCTCACTGTTTAATGGCTTGTTCTGAAGCTCTTCGGCCAGCTGCAAGGGAGATTACATTGACGTAAAGAACATTTAGTAAGAGCATTGTGAGGTTCGGTGTGTGACAGCTGAAAATCTGTCTGCTCAAGGCTATTACTTTCCAATGTTTAAGGAGAGGTCAGCATATAAGAAAACAGATTATCAATCATTGCTCTTCTTCTTAGGCCTTCGGTAGTCCAGATGCGAGCCCAAGCTCTTGGCTGAGCACAAATCAAGTAATCATATCAGCCATATCACCTTCTGATTTATTGCAAGGAGGGCAAACCCCACCACTTCATCTATGTGAATGGTCTTTTGCACCTAGACAAAGGACCACTTGTAAGAACTGGATAAAGCTTTGACACTGTAACCTCTCCCATCCTCCACAAAAACAGAGCTTCTGAATGAGGTGGTGAAATCCACAGGGTTTCCAAAAACCCATGGGGATTCCAAAAACCCACAGTAGCTGTGCTGTTTAGAGCTAGGGTAAAAATAATTAGAATGCCCCTAATAGAGCAAATGGCCTGAAACTTTTATTATGTTTACCCATACAGATGAAGAAATCTGTTAAATACCAACCAACCATAATACCAATCGTAAAATGAGCTATAATGGGTTAACAGCTACCCTGGTACCAAAAATGCTGACTGTTCCCTCCTATAATAAGCAAGAATTCCCATTTGGGTTCTACATAAAGAAGGTGTTAGAACTTTGAAACTGACTCATGTCTTCCATAAGAGATAGTCTTATCAAATTCCAACTCAATTTTAGGGTATAGGAAAAAGCACATGATTTTCATAAGAAGAAAAACAAGACTCAAACAGGAAAAAAAAGATTAGAATTATGAAATATGTGGTATATATAAATGCATTTTTATTAAAAAACCCTTCTTAAAACCTTGCATGAAATTTCCATTTGCTCCTACTTTTTCTACCAAGCTTAAAAATAATTGTTCTTATCTCTGGAAAAGGACTTTTCTCTAAAAGAAGGGCATAATATAAATAATACACAAAAAATAAAATCATAGAAAATTATACAGTCATTAATTACCTTTCCAAAATTGCTTTTACTTTTCTGAGGTAATAGTTATATAGAATTTTTAGCTTACAAAAAGACATAAAGGTCATTTGCACTTTTTAATCACTTAAAACATAATATATTTTAACATTTAAATATACTGCTCTGACAAATTATAAGATACTATGGTTTATCATAGTTACATAGCAGACTCTAATTTTTTATAAAGCAGTATTAGTGCTATATGATTGGGCCACAACAACATTGGTTTATAAACAAATGTTTCCCAAAACTCTGAATAGTAAGTGTTTTAAAACTGGTTTTTAAGGCTTTCTTGGGGGGCAACTGTGCCTTACTTAACCATATCTACATCTTTATTCACCTTCATTTAAAAAATTTTGGTTCAATAATGCAGAAGTAAGCTTCCTGATTAAATATATATTAAACACACTTGTAATCTTTGTAGATAAAAATAGAAAGGAAAATGTTGGGGAACTAAACAAATAGCATGCAGCTTGAATATTTATACATACGTGTATTTTCTAAATTAGAATGCAAAGTAGCCCAAATAAAATCAACTTCTCAAAATGGCCAATTTTTAAATTATATTATGGCCCAGATATTTTACATTGAATTATAGATTATTTTATCAAAAATAAAGGAAAACATATTAAAAGCAACAAATAAGCTACGGGATATCACTAAAACCAGCCTTTGCACTAAACATATTTCTCTTCCAGCTTCGTGTCCTTTATAGTTTATCCAGGTGTGTTCTCAATTCATCCGAGTCCGAAAGTTAACAGTAAGAATCAGTGAGTTAGTTCCCTTCCCCTAAGTTTAAAATAAAATTATAGCTACAGGAAATTAACTACTCCATCAATGCCAACTGCTTCTAAAATTTATTTTTTGGTTATGAAAGTAATTTGGAAAAGTCTAATATCCATAAATCATTACTATGTTTTATAATCCATTTTAAAAACAATCCTGTCCTTTTACATATTTCATATATCTCGTTCATATCTTAGTATCTGTCATTTTTTAGTACTGTCAGCAATATAGCTTTCTCATTTGTCTTTATTTCTCCAAAGCATTCCTCTTGTCTTTGACTTTCTCAGAACACCAGCAGCTGACAGCTTCGCTCTCTACATGAGGTTAAAGCCTAAAATCTCTATTACGTAGTTATAAAAGCAGAACAAGAGCGTAGCTACATACAAAATTTTTAGAACAGGAAAGTAAATGGAAATCAACATAATATTAACATAAGCTCAGTGATGACAGGACTTCTAGAAATATTTGCAACCTCTTCTGCTTTTCCCTCATAGGATCACACGCATCTGTCTGCACTAGGACAGGTTCTGCCTGGGCCAGGTCTGTGGCAGACACATCCTGGTGAGCTCGGACAGGCACACTTACGTCATCGGCCAAGGCTGCCGCACCATGGAGGATGGGCACTGGACTCTGCTTCTCATAATAGTGTAGTTTTTCATGAATCTGGAAGAAAATCAAATGCATGTAAGTTCACCTGCTAGCAAACAATCTCAGACAGTTGCACATTTTTATACTTGAAAAGAGAATCTGAATCCTTGAATATTCTACAGTTACATGTTTGTATATGCTCATATAAACCCATAGGTGACATGTATGTGTGCCTAATTCATCTATTACTATGGTCCAGTGTTTACAACATAGAGTCTGATGGAGAAAACAGTCTTTATCAAACAGAATCTATGTGAAAACTAAGAAACTCTTTCCCCTCAATAAACATGTATGTTTTGTGATGTCTATCATACCTAAAATCTATTGTTGCAGTATTTCAAGTATCAGTTGCAGTTTATATTCCTGCCAGAAACATAAATTATGATTAAAGCAAACCAATAAACTGCCAGCCACATTTTGGCAGCTTGGCATGGAATCGCTGTCAAGAGGGAGGAAGCTGGCACTATTTGTGCCTGGGTGCCACATCCAGAAACATCTGCCTAAGCACACTGTTCCTTTTATTACACTTATTCATTCTTTTTTAGAAATTGCCAATTTTCCCCCTCAAATTCAAATTTTTAAGAAATGAAGGGATTTCTCATAACTAGTGACATTTCTTTTAATTATTTAGCATAAATGAGATCATTTTTCACATTGCAAAATAATTATAGTAATAAAAAAAAACTGGTCCTTCATTTCCCATTATTGTGACCAAAGAAACACAAAAGCAAGGATCTACATAAATGCCATATAAGACAAACTGAGTTCCTCATAAAATCTAGCAGAAAGTTGAGAAACAAAAGACATGCTGACAAACACATAACTATCAGCACTTAAGTGACATCTATTTCAGCTCTTGTACAGGTGTCCTGAACATTTTACACTTGAAAACTTATTTTGGTCTCTTCTTATTTATAGTTGAAGAAAAATGTCCCCCATGATACATGAAAAACAGTTGCACCTCACAATTTCCTGTTTTTAATAGGTATCAAGTAATATACTCTTTAATTATCCTCAAAGCTAATCAAACTCGATTGTAAAAGTCTGGAAGATAAATTTATTCTGATTAGCCAGATGCTATTGCTAAGAGAGGGTTCTATTACCTTCTGGCAACCTGGTACACAATGTAAAGCTTCAGGGAAAGAATTTTGACACTATGATATTACCGGAATGATCAGAGCCGTATTTTTACTGGATATCTTGGAACCTTTAAATATGTATCATATCAAGGTAATAAACAAACTTTAAAGACTGCGAGCTATAAAAAGAGTTAGATTCAATTTGATAAACTATGAAAGTATAATTTAAAACAAAAAGTAATCATACTAAAAGCTAAATTCACTGTTTAAATAATTATCAAGAATTAAGTCACCTCAATATATACTATCATAGAATACTTAACTTACCCCATCACAAAACTCATCTAATTCACTGCTGAACTTACCCTATCACAAAACTCATCTAATCTCACTGCGATTACTTGTTTAAATGTCTGGTTCCCTGCTATAATAAACATAGAGATTTATTAAGAACTTACCATGGGCCTGTACTACCCACCTTATAGCTGACAGTAATAGGAGTAACATAGTCTTTAATTAGTTTAATATTTTAATTCCTCAATTCTCACAAGAACATAAATAGGTAGATAGCATGAGCATCTCATTTTACAGATAAACAAGAGTTAAACAAGTTGCTATGTTCTTGCAGACAGTAAGAGGCAGAGCCGAGATTTCAAGCTCAAGCCATCTGGCTCAGTGTTAGAGTTTCTAATCACTCACTTTTCCTCTCAGACTAACATTGCATCTGTGTTCTTCACTGCCATCCTTGGCAGTCTAGTGAGTATGGCCTGCTTGTTATGCATAGAAAGGAAGGCTGGATAGGTACATAACAAATTGCAGTGACTGTTTTCATTGACTAGAGGATCACTGGTGGTTCCTCTCCATCCCTTACATTTTCTTTCTCATTGGTGGTTCCTCTCCATCTGTTATGTTTTCTTTCTGATGGCTTCCAATTTTCCCAGGTTAATTTCTATGAATACTCTAATTATAACCTAAAATCACGTGCCCCAAATAAAGACGTTATTTCTCCATTTCATTTTCTGCTTCTGAGTGTCTTTTACAAATAGTCAGTTTCTCTTCCATCATCTTCTCTAGAACCTGACTCAATTGATGAATATCCCACCCCTAGCCTGCCCACTCCTGGACCTTGTACCACATCAAACATTTTAAAACTGTTCTCCCAGAATTTCAAAAGGCTGGTTACTCTGTGTTAATATGTATTTTACTTTACTGCATCATTTTAAAAATTAAGTTGGTAGGAAAGTAAAAATTTACTCTAAACAATTTTGAGCTGTTCACTGTTCCCAAAAATACTGACAGAAATTCTGCTTTTTATTAGTATTTATGATAACCAAAAGGAAAAAATAATTTTTAAATTCTAATAAACAGGCAATGCGTATAGACTTCACCCCAAGGCTATCCAGCAGAACTGCCTGTGATGGTGAAAATGTTTTATAGCTGCTCGTCCAATATGGTTAGCCACTGGCCACATGTGGCTTTTGAGCACTCGAATGTGGGTTGACTTGAGGAACTGAATTTTTAATTTTATTTAATTTTATTTACTTTATATTTAAATACCCACATGATGCTTATGTCATGTTCTTGAAGAACACAACATAACTTTATGTAGTCTATAATTTCCCTTTATATCCCAGAAAAATTTACTCCAATACAGTGTGGCAAATTTCCAAAAGTGGGAACATTTTGAGATCTGATAGACAAATATATAACCAAGGATGTGGTTCCACCATCAGTGAGCAAACTAGCATCTAAGTATCAGGTACAGCGAAACATGCAAAACCTCATTTATTCTAACTAACATTTATTTCCCTTTGCAGATTCAATCACATAATAAAAGTATACTTCAGGCCAGGTTCGGTGGCTCACACCTGGAATCCCAGCACTTTGGGAGGCTAGGTTGTGGAGATCACATGTGGTCAGGTGTACAAGACCAGCCTGGCCAACTTGGTGAAACCTCATCTCTACTAATAATACAAAAATTAGCCAGGGGTGATGGTGCATGCCTGTAGTCACAGCTACTTGAGAGGCTGAGGCAGAAGAATGGCTTGAACCCGGGAGGCGGAGGTTGCAGTGAGCCAAAATTGCACCACTGAACTCCAGCCTGAGCTACAGAGCAAGACTCCATGTCAAAAAAAAAAAAGAGAGAGAGAAAAGTGTACTTCATTTTTATCCCCTGAGCAACTAGAAGAGGAGGAAGCAGACAAGGTGATGAGGGAAGAAAGGAGTTAGGAGTAAAGAAGTCTGGAGAAAAGGGGAAATCTGGTTAAATTAATTTTATATTACAGTTATTCAATAGCAAGATCCTAAATGTCAGGACATGCTACACTATTTTAAATGCACTATTAAGAAAAAAGAACAATTCAAAATCCATATGCATTATGCTCTATGTATATGTCCATAAGGGTTTTTTTTTCTATAATTACATTTGCAATCAGAAAAAGTTAGTAAAAATAAAAATCATTTCAACATGTAAGTAGTTCTCATAAGGAAGACATAATTACCTTCATTTACATAGTTCTTAAAAATAATGTTTGATTTTAGTGAGCTCTGTTTTACTTGCACATACAGTAGAACTTTCAAAAATAAAGCTTCAATAATTAAACTATGAATAAAGTAGCCCTCAATGCAGTCATGCGTTTTATACCTCTCGATGTACAGACTTCACCATGGTTATCTGAATTATATTACATTAAGTAAAATGCTGTAGTCCTTTTATTGGCTTCTATTAAGAGTATAAAAAAGTACTGAAAATTACTACTCAGTAGTTTCACTCTTCAGCATGTTAATCAATGTTACCAGATCTAGAATTAGCACATGCATTCATACACCAATCTACCTCCATATTTAAAATACTGGGGATGTGGAGAAGATTCTGGGTACTGAAAAAAAAATCCACGGGACACAATCCTTTCAGAACTATGTATTTATGACCAGGTGCAGTGGCTCACGTCTGTAATCCCAGCACTTTGGGAGGCCAAGGTGGTCAGATCACCTGAGATTGGGAGTTCCAGATCAGCCTGACCAACATGGAGAAACCCCGTCTCTACTAAAAATACAAAATTAGCCAGGCATGGTGGTGTGCACCTGTATCTTAGCTACTCGGGAGGGTGAGGCAGGCGAATTGCTTGAACCCAGGAGGTGGAGGTTGCAGCTAGCCAAGATCGTGCCATTGCACTCCAGCCTGGGCAACAAGAGCGAAACTCTGTCTCAAAAAATAAAAATAAAAAGAGGGGAAAATAAAAATAGATATGTATTTACTTCCGATGTGTGACCTTGAAATATCACCAGCCACTTTGCTAACTTTACAGTGTAGGACTCCTGGACTTGGTGGATAAAACTCTCAACTCCTAAGCCATGAACCCACCAATCCATGGGTTGTTACAAATTCTTAAAGCAAGATCCTTTTGTTCCTACCTAATTCCAGGAAGGGCCAGACCAGCTTCTTTGTCATCTCCCTTGACAGGTAGTTGAAAGTTTTCTCATCTTCCCATTCACTAACAAAGTAGCCCTAGAAAAGTAGCTATTTTGGGTGTGTATATCATAAAGCCTAAAATCTTGGAGGCTGTACTGTTGCTCAAGCTACACAGTCAGAAGTAAAAAGCTAAATAAATAAAGCCTTCCCATAGGAATCACTGGAAGCAACTGCTACTTTGCCTTCAACTCAGGCCAGAGTGTTTGCAACATCTCTACACAGATAGGTAATTCTTATAAGGAACATGTCAACATGTCTTTATACACATGTCTATAAAGTCTATAAAATACAAAGCATGGAAAACAGGTTTTAGGCTTAAATTAAATTAATAAAAAGCAACAAACCATCAACATTTTCATTTCAGATGAAAATGTGGGGATTCTATTTGAAATTACTTCTCAGAAAATTTTCAACAGATCAGATTCCCTTAGTTCTCAGAACAGTATTCTAGAAAAAGTAGCCAG